TCTTCACTAATATTCATGCTACCTTGCTGGTATTTATTGTTATTATTGTTCGTATATTAATAACATAACTGTTCAGTGTTGTGGTAATTCTATCTTTAATAGTATTTTTTTAAACAAAAATGGTTTGAAATCTGGATGTTTGATACCATTTGAGGCTATGGTGAATTAATATATGTGAATACAAAATTAAACAAATGATTGGTACAATATAGGTTTATTGCAAGAGATTTTGTTGATAATTTTAAAGTATATGGAGAGATTAATGCTAAGTTTAGGTTTATATCACTCGAGTGAAATAAAGTCACCTCAAGTCGCCTAAAGTCGCTGTAAGTCGCCTAAGATAGCCTTAAATCGCCTAAAGTCGCAATGTTTTTACTGTCAGTTTTGCTTAAGTCGCCAAAAGTCGCCTTAAATCTCCCAAAGTCGCCTTAAGTTACGGCGACTTAGGCCCGTTCCAAACGCCGCTCCATTCATGCGCCGAACCTAACTGATGAATTAAGTACGGCAGAAGAGCGGCGTTTGAATCAGTTTGGGTCGGCAGGTTAGATTTGGAGCGAGGAAACAACATTAAATTCGGCAGTGTCTGTCGCACTATGCGACATTCGAGTGGCGGCTGATTCATACGGCGTTCTCCTCATGTGCCGAACCTAATGCATAAATTACTGTAATGGATTTTTCATATAACGGCACTTGTGATTGGCACAAAATTAAGTGGCGTGACCAGTCATGCATAAAGCTCGAAGTCGTCGCTAAAAATAAAGACAGCAAAAACTCTGTCGCGTTTCGCAGCTCCCATTATGCCTTCGATTTATGAGAAACGGGACTGTATAAGCGAGTTTATTTAGCGCAAATTAATTTTTTTGCTTTTTCGTCGTGATAATAGCCAAGCTTATGAGATTTCCCTTTAACAGGTCGAATTTACCGGAAGAAAACCTCTCAAAATACGAACACTGAATCTTGCGATTGAATTTGCTTCCCTAAATACTGCTATAACAGCGACATATTAGTCACAGCTTCTCTATTTGGACGGAGTTCTTGAATTCAGAACGCATATTTTCTCATCGAAAATTGTTTACCACGAGCTTTCCGAATTCGACGCAAGTACGCCGTCTGAATCAGCAGTCCTCCAAAGTCGCTCCAAAGTGGAACTCAATGGACTTTGGTTCGGCACATCAGAGTGAAGCGCCGTTTGGACCGGGTCTTATTAAGGTCTCAGGGTAGGCCTTCTTTGCTTACCGGTTAGCTAGCGTTTTTAGCAGGTTCTTCGCTCTTCTGTGTCCTTTGTGTTGCGTGGTCGGTGAGGTTATTTCACGAGCACGAGCCGCAACAATGCTTTGAAAAAAGAAATGCGAAACAGCTTGCAATTATCCAAATTTCGCAGCTAACCGGTTCTCAACACCAAGTAAAAATGAAAACTGAGGCATCGCCGGTTAAATAAGCTCGCTTAAAGTTGTCTAACAGCTTTTTCTGTAACTTGAAGTTCAGTTTCTTCTGCAATATTTACAGCCGTTGTGGTAATACCACACTGGAATATATTTCTTATTCCATTTCCCTGAACACTCCAAACACTCTCTTTTTGATCCAGGGCGACCAAGAAGATGGAGACACAGACGCCTGCATTCGTGACACCTGTGATGAGGCAAAGCCTTGCCTCCTCTTACATGCCCATGGATTTCTGGTTTCACAAATTTGGGACACCACTCTACATTTGTAATGTCTTCCAAACAAATGACATGATGCTCTTCGATTTTGAGCATTTCTTCGACCTTTTCCATAAGCGACTTTGGCCATGGTCGACTTTTCTCGAAGTTGTTCCTGTCTACGACGATCTTTCCATTCTTGATTAACTTCTCTTTTTGTGATAGTCCGTTATTTCGCTCGGTGTTTCTTGCGATGTCCCCGATGTCATCACTTCGATGCCGCTTCGGTTGTTCGCCGTCGCTTCTTCGCTTCGTGTCAAAAACACTTCGCGCACTTTGCGATATCTGATGAAATACTGAGACCGCATCGCGTTTGTGATCTCTGTGAAGGATTTTTTGCCGGTGAAACTTTCTTTCCATCGTCAAAAGAGAGGGGATGCTTGCAAAGCCCTTTATCACGGTCTATACTCAAATCGATTGAATATTTTTTTGCTAGCGCGCATATCCAGAAAAATCAACTGAAAAACACCGGAAATGACGCATTCGATTTTCACGTAGAACGAGTGTTTTCGGAGAAAAATAATGACGCAATCAAATCGTTTTAAACTGGCGTCATTTTTCTAAGAAAACGAAGTTGCCATCGGCAAAGACAGAGGTCGTATGTTTGCCATCCAAAGAATGAAAGAAAAAGAAAGGTTTTTCTTTCTGTTTTGACTAATTTTAGTCAATGATGTGATTTTCTCCCCTCACAATCAAAACAATCAACTAATAAACACCAAAAATAATGCATTTGATTTTCTCGGAAAGCGGGTGTTTTCCGAGAAAAATAATGACGCAATCAAATCGTTTTGAACTGCCGTCTTTTCTAAGAAAACGAAATCGCCATCGGCAAAGATAGAGGTCATGTTTGCCATCCAAGGAATGAAAGAAAAAGAAAGGTTTTTCCTTCGGTTTTTGACTGATTTTAGTTAAACATGTGGAATTTGGAGCAAGATTATCCAACCCCAGATGGTTTGTTTGCCAAAGGTATTTGCTTACCAGCCTTCTCAGCTATAATTGGCTGTCAATTAAACCTGCTTATTCTTTTCAACAATGCATAGCTAAGCAATTTGCACTATCAACTAGAAGTTTCGATAAATTCCAAGAAAAGGAGGCCTTTTCCGGGATATTACCCGAGGGAATTCCCCGAAACATAATTCCAAGAGTATTTTTAAAACACCAAGAAACTTTTTTTCTTTCCATTCTTCTTCAAATTCGTCAGTGGAAAACGCGAATGGTTTTTCTGAGAACATGATATTGAATCCTTTTCACGGTTAACACAGCAATTCATCTGAACATCGAAATGATTTCTTCGGAGTTTTTCTTGGTGATATGTTCATCTTTATGGATTGGAGTGAAACTTACTATATTTTTCAAGAAACGTTTCCGGTGGAGAGAACACTGGTTTGCCTGTTTAAGTTTGGATAGCGCGATTCTTCTCATAATCGCTGCGCAGTTTTTGCTGCCGATGATAACAGCAAGATTTGATAGCGCGAATCTTATTCTCGTAATCGCTGCGCAGTTTTTGTTGCCGAACGTTTGGTTATTGCAGATGATAACAGCAGTGATAGCTATGGTCTTGGCTATCAAGGACATGTATTTGATGATGACTAATCTGTGGGAATTAGTCAAGTCCTTGGTGCTTGGTGCCTACATAATTATATCCTGGGAGAGTGAACGCGGATCATGTATTTTACCCTTATCTTCCGTGTTTTTTGCGCTAACTCAGTTCCTGCGATGGCCAAGGTGGCTGAAAGATTTCCTCAGTGAAGTGAGAATCGTCTGTGGCCCTGCCTTTCCCATTTCCGTCTTCGCAACATGGTTGAAACGGAGTGAACCTTCTGGCTCGTCATTCTGGGTTCTTCTCGTTGCTGTACTCGGTTCCTCGGTAGCCGCCATCTATTTTCGCCCCGACAACTCTGAAGTTTTGGTCTTGTTTCATCTGCCAGTCCCCAGCTCGAGAGACAGGAAAGTTTGTCATGCAATATTGATGTTTTTCAGTCTCCTTTGTTTGACAGTGCATATTTTATTGTATCAAACTTTTCCTTCCATTTACTGTAAACCTGTTTCTATCGTGGTGGTCATACTGTGCGTGTGTTTCTTTTTTGGCGCCACTGACGCCGCGCACCGCGCGTATCATTGGATCGGCCATTTTTTTCCGGGAAACCGTGACCGTGATTGACAATAACGATAACTTTACAATTGATGGCTAAGCACTTCTGTAAAAACCTGGGGGATCAGTACCGGAATCTGTTAGGCCTACTCTGGGACCACAAGTCGCCGTAATTTTAGGCGACTTGGGGCGATTTAAGGCGACTTTAGGAAAAAAAGGTGACATTTAGGTGAATTATATTTGAGTGAATATGTTACAGCTAATTTTTTATTTCAGTTAATTTTTGGTTTTCCCTGCTTCAAATTCATTAGCATACATAATCATACCCAGAAACAATGAAAAAATAAAAATTAATGCAAAAAAAATTAACTACAACATATGCAAAATTGAAATAATAATGATAAATCCCTACCTCTCTAGCTAGGGACGCAATGTCATAGCATAAGTTAATTCAGTCTTGAAGACATCTACATTAGTCTTCCAAATTTTTAACAGTCTCAGCTACCTAATATTTTGAACATTAAATATCAAAGGTAGCTTGTGTTGCAGATGTATTCTAACCCTGGTAAGTAACATTTGCGAAGCAGCTCTAATATCCTTGTTCTGGGCCATGACGCACTAAATGAATTACCAGCATTTTGAGTTTCCCTTCAACATGTTTGACAAATTGACAATGGCATTTTTAACAGTCCAGTCCTGGCAGGTACTGAAATCCTGATACACACACGGGGGAACCAGAACTATGATTTTACCGCTGTTTTGACTGAACCCAGAGTTTAGTTCCATCTGTGGCACAGGCTAATATCAAGGGTATTGGTTTAGTATTACATTTGCAGAGACAAAATCTGAGTTAGAAGAAACCAAACTGGTAAATTCTCTCTTAGCCTTTGAATGCATTCTTTTACAATATAAGGGACAAAAAATCAATGGTTCATGCATTTCTTTTTCCAAAAAATAAAACCCTAAAAGTACAGTATTTCAGTACATCGCTGTAAAATACTGTAAGCTGGTTTGTAGCAAGAACTTTGTATTAAAGTGTCTTTTTTTCATAATTTCACAACAAACATTTAAGTAATTAATTTAAAACATCAAAATCACTTATCGATATCGCACATTATGGAAATGACGATCCCCATTGTATTTCTTCGCAGTTGCTCTGCCAATGTTTGTCCTTACATCGAGTCACACGTTTGGCAAAGAAGGGGTTTTTCCAATTGAATTCAAAATATAAAGTTGGTAGTTCTCGCCGTATATACTGCTCCTTTCCTGTCTCAGTCAAACAAAACACTTCCAAATACTTGCTTCGCTAGTGAACCATGCATACTCTCTTTCCATGGTCCCTTTGGAAACTTTCCAGTCGTGTTGATTTCATGAGTGCATTTATACACCAGCAGAAACAACTAAGCTTTGCTTCAACCAACCTCGCTCTGCTCCACGCGGCAGCGTTTACGCTCTCAGCCCAAAAGGAAACATTATGCGTCATGTTTAAGCCTATGGCATTGCCAAGTGTAAACCTTTCCCTTATTATCTCAGAAATTTCCAGTTAAAAGGAAGATTTTCAAACGACAACGCAACGTACAATTGACAACAACAAGAGCGCATTTCTATTTGCCATTTTGCTTCTCCCAGAATTCCACTACAGTCGCAAGCTAATTTCCATTGTTTCTCGGTCCCGCCCTCTCCCCGCCTCCAGACCAGCTAGTCACGTGACTAAAACACAATACCCAGTCAGGCGGCCATAACGTAGAGGAAAGAGCTGTATAATTTCGTTTATTTGGTTCAAGTCTCGTGCTTTTGTCGGTATAAAAAAGGAAACTTACTATATCGAGAAAAATAAAATATTATTTGACTTTTTTTGGCATATATAGATTAACTTGTATCGAGCTCGCACGGAAGTGGCAGGTAAAGCACGTAGAGTTGTTTGATGCTAAAATTCGACATGATTTTGATCGCGGATCAAACAACATTAAATCAAAGATTACATGTAAGCTTATAGCTCTTTAAAAAATGGGCGATTTCTTACTTTCGAATTTGGATCATTTAAAACTCCATTTTGATCGATCCAACATTATTAGAAATTTCCAAATTATCTATGCTCGAAATCTTTCTCTTTGCTGTGTTCAGCTACGGTATATTCAAACTCTTAATCATCTATTAAAAGAATCGACAAATCGATTATAATATTCTGTACTTCAATTGGTTTCGGGATTATCCTCAACGAGGTACACAGTAAAGTTTTGGGTTTTCTGTGGTTACTTCTTTGCTTGTTGTTGAATCAATAACAAGGCAATGAAATATTGACATATCCTTTATTTATTTACATTTTTTTTTCAGAGAAGATGAACTTGATCTCAAATCAAACGATAAGTGTAGAAACACTTTTCGAAGTTTTCTGATGATGAATTAACTAAAAGAAGATGCCGGTAGTTTGTCTTTGAAGGACCTGTATCAGAGTGACAATAATATGAATAAAGATTTTACCAATGGGAAGATCCGGGCTTTTTACTCCTTTGTAGTAATTAGCATGTACAATAATCACTTCAGCAACCAAAACAAATTTAAAATCCTTATACATAATTTTTCCAACCATTATGTTCTCTTCCTCTTCATATAGGGTGTTATTTCAAAGTTTTTTCCCTCAGAATATTAGTTTACAACCTAAGATTGTGACTGAAGCTCATGCTAATTTAAAGAAAAAGAAAACTACTGGAACACTACTTTGAAGCATTATGCAGTCATGGTCAAGTACACCCCTTTGGAACGTTCGAGTCTTTCCAGTCTGATTTGCTGGCCGGTAGTATGTTTCATTTATTCATCATCAAAGTTCATATGGGCTTTAGTGCATTATTACATAGTGCATATTTTCCCCCGGCGCTCTATTATTTTATGAACTAAAAGAAGGTCGGGTTCACCACCTGGAGTCTTGTCTACGTTCTTCATCAACAATGGTCGATTACATCAACTCGTTTGGCAGGGAGCAATTACGACAACATAAACAAAGCGTAGTTTTACGCACCTTCGATGTACGAAGCTTGAACTTCTGTCTGGAAGGGCCTAAAGAGACGACTGTACCAGCTAAGCTGTGTTCAAGTTTATAAGAGTGATTGTGTTTTTGTCAATGATAGATATTTATGATAGATCAGAGGTTGTGTGCTGGAGAAATAATTTAACATTGGCTGCTCTTAAAATCTGGGTCGGTAATTCACATGGACAAAAACACATTGTTTTTGATAGACTTTGGGCTTGTTTGCCCTACTTACCAGAAAATTTAGATTAATGTTGTGGCGGCAATAATTTTTTTTTTCTCCCTGCGACCTACCTGTTTTGATCTTAGTTACTTGGAATGTCTTTCAATGGTGGACTCTCACAAAGTAGTAGAAAGGGAACTTAAATTTTTAATTACATTTTGTTCTTCCGGCAAGCTGTACCTAGCTAGAACTTGAACCTTTGAATGCCTTTTTAACAACACTTTTACTCTTAAATTACGACACAAACCTCCCCGATGAAATTATTAAAATGCCTTTACAAGTGTCATTTTTACATAAACAATACAGGAATGATTATTCTTGTATTGCTTTCAACTAATTATTATGTGTATTAAATTGCCTAAAGTAATTCAATGTATAAATTAGAGGGCTTGAGAAGAAGTTAAGGGGTCTTAAGTGACTGTGAGAGTTTTTTGGTGGTGGTGGTGGGGGGGGGGGGGTT